CTCTCTCTCTCTCTCTCTCTCTCTCTCTCTCTCTCTCTCTCTCTCTCTCTCTCTCTCTCTCTCTCTCCCTCTCTCTCTCTATCTCTCTCTACTTCCTTGAAGTTTTCAATCACCAACCAAATGAGGGAAGTGAGAATGAAATTTTGAGAAAGACATGGAAAGATACACTATGGTTTTCTCTGCCCTCTGTGTCCTGCAGCCCCTCCACGAGTACTCACCCGATGACGAAAGTGGAATAAATCTTCGGTTTGTTCACGGCCAAGCATGATGTTGTAATCTAGTTTAAACGTTAATCCCAACGGTCAAACCTTGCCATTCGAAGTCCCCCTTATGTGTGCGAAAACGGATCTTCGTTTGGAGCTACCTTTCAAAAAAACCAGTAATTGTTTCGCAGTGCTGCTGATGTCTCCCACGGATCCGAATAGAGCACAGGGTCATCAAGGCTGTATTCGGGCAACTCTCGATCCAAACACAGAAAAAGCAGCAGTCCGTGATATTCCGCCTGCTATAAACAACAGGGCTGTGAAACTATTTGATGAAGGGTTTGAGTCGATCCACAAGCAGCACTTTAGTCCATACTCAAGCACAAGTCCTCTACATCCATGCCCAAAGTGAACGGGAACGTTCGAAACGGGCCAGGCAACTAGCCATAGCCTTGATCTTTCCCTTCCTCTTACTAATCCTCGGTCTCTAATTCTCATTCACTCCCAGAACTGTGCGTCATCACTTACTGCTCCAGGAGCCGCCTACTGAGCGCGGCTGGAAGCCCATGGAAAAGGGTCACGAATCATCTCCCTCTCATTGGCATTCCCCATCTGCTTGCACCCTCTCAGTCCTCGTTTCTCCTGCCGAGGGCATGCTCACATAGACTCTATCATAAATGTGTGTGGCTGCGCTTATGACCAGCCGCATAGTAATAAATGATAGTATTATGGCCTTCTTTCATCCACTTCGTCATTCTCTCTTTCTCTCTCTCTCTCTCTCTATCTCTCTCTCTGACACACACAGTCTCTCGCTCCCGCTGTGCAGTCTCCTTCTCTCTCACACACGCAAGTAACCGCCTAAGCGCCGACGCGTCTCCGCTCCGAGCTCGTCCCTCACGCCGCAACTGTTTGACGCTGGCCACTCCTGGCATGCCATCCGAGATTGCCCCCGTCTCATCTGTCTCAATCTCTCTCGCTGCCGCCTCCTTGGCTCGTCGTTCTCCCTTGCTTGAACGCGTTGTGCTGGCTGAGGTGTCCGCCGAGCACGCCGTCCCCTGCGGCTCGTTGACCCCTTTCCCCTTCAGACACGATTCTTCGCTGGGTACACCTGGCGCACTCCCCCCCTTGGTGTCCCGTTTGTCGCTCTATATCCCCATGTGAGAGYTGCGGCATGGTTACCTTCGAATCTCTCCCCTTCTTTCAGCGCCCACCCTGAAACGGGAGCTAGCCCCTCGGTACCAGCGGTACCAGGGCTATAGGTTTGGCATAGGCCTTTCTTCAAGTGGCAGTGTCACCAAAACCCAGGCTTTTGGCCTGGTAATAGCAGTTCACGAACCCAGCAACACCGATATAAATTCAGGGCCCGCGGTAAAAGGTACTAAAAGCCAATGCAGCCGGCCGTCGTCGTTTATTTCACACAGTCAAACCATGTCGGCGGGATAATTGCAGTGACTGAAATAATCCTCTCCAGCGAATTATCATGGAAAAAGAAAATCAGTACCCCCGAACAAATGAACCACAGCCGTCCTAAGGTGGATCGGAGTTTCATACCAGGACATACCAATATCGAACCGCCTAATACCGTACCAGTTCGTGTCAATGCCGATCCAATAGCTGTGCCAATCTGCATTAGCGCCGTACCAATGCCGGWTCCAAARAAACGCTCTAATTTACTGCMGCCTGCACTGTTATTATACCGCTCGGTGTCGAGTGCCGTACCGTGCAACAATGAGTTGTAATAATACCGAGCCTGTCCCGAACCAGAGTACCGTGCCCGAATCGACCCA